CACTCATGAGGGCCACCTGTAAGGCTGGATCCTGGGGACATCGGACTGGGTTTTCCCTCTTTCTCTCTTTTTTTTAAGATTCAATTTTATTGCAAAGTCAGATATGCAGAGAGGAAGATCTTCCATCCAATGATTCACTCCACAAATGGCTGCAACAGCCTGAGCTGAACCAATCCGAAGCCAGGAACCAGGAGCCTCTTCCAGGTCTCCCACGCAAGTGCAGGGTCCCAAGGCTTTGGGCCGTCCTCAACTGCTTTCCCAGGCCACAAACAGCTGGATGGGAAGAAGAACTGCTGGGATTAGAACCGGTGCCCATTTGGGATCCTGTTGTATGCAAGGTGAGGACTTTAGCCACTAGCCTACCACACCAGTCCCAACTGGGTTCTTTCTGTAGCACTTTGGACAATACAGTGGGGAAGATGAAGAGTCCTACCAACAGGTATTACTTGTGGTACATGGTCAAATTAGAAATCTTATAAAACAGACCCTGGGAGACCTGATCTCTGAGGAAGCTGAGCCAAGGTTGGCTCAAGAGTGGGCGGGAGCTAGGAGCAGGGGTGTGGTGGTTTTCCAGGGGTGGCTGTGTTGTGTCAGGGTCTCAGAGCAAAAAGGTGTTTTTGCTGGCAGCACAAGCCTATGCCTGTCAGGCCCATTCTGGTACACTGGAACTGCTCTTTTGTCCGTTTCTTCACCAGACCCTAAGCTCGAGCAGGAATTCTTGGTCTTCATTTTAGTCTTGCTTTTCTGGAGATACAAAGATGAACACAGACTACATCTGATGAACACAGTTCAAGCTGTTGACCCTTCCAGTGAACTGATACAGTCTGAGAGATTGCTGCTATTAGGCAGGAAGACTATTAAGTAAGCTAAGATAGAAGATTGTAGTCTGACCGTCAGTATCTTTTTCCACACTGAGAAGCGTATTTTTCTGCATTGTGATCTTTAAAATCAAAAGATTTATTTATTTTTATTGGAAAGGCAGACCAGATTTTCAGAGAGAAGGAGAGACAAAGATCTTCTATTCATTGATTCACTCCCCAAGTGGCTGAAATGGCCAAAGCTGAGCCAATCCTAAGCCAGGAGCTTCTTCTGGGTCTCCCATGCAGGTGGAAGTGGATTTTAGCCACTGAGCCATCATATCCCCCAGTTTTTAAAATTTTAAGTCTATATTGTCAAACAGGCCATCTACATAATAATTTTAAGAAACCAACATATCCCATATGGGCACCTGATTCAAGTTCAGATCCTGTTCCCCAGTGAGAAAGCAGTGGATGATGGCCCAAGTGCTTGGGCCCCTTCGTCCACATGGGAGACCTAGAAGCAGCTCCTGGTTCCTGGTTTCAGCCTGGTCCAGCTCTAACCCTTACTGCTATCTGGGGAGTAAACCAGCAGATAGAAGATCTCATCCCCAGCTGGAAGCAACTGCGTAGGTTACCTTTTAGGCAAGTGTTAACACTGCTGGGAGAATAGCAGCTAGTAGCTGGTGGGCATCCTGGACCTGGTTGATGCCAGATTTGTATTAACTATACCTGTGTGCTGGCATAGTTACTTATTCCTTTTGTTGTTGTTAACTTTTGTGGCGAAGACAGGGAGCTCTGGGCTGGGACACACCACCCTAGATCCTAGGTGGGTGTGGGGGACTGCAGATTTCCTGCGTAAGGCAGTCTGGGGACGTATTAGGGTTGCAGGGACTAAGGGTGTGTTTGACAGGGAAGGAATGACTTCTGGGATCTAGAGGGGAGAAATCTGTTTGGATCAGGCCAAGGCTCCTGCTCTTGTGGGAAACTTGGGTTGGGCTAAATGGCATTGGCTGTCACCCACTAGTGCATGCAAAAGCTGGGCCTGGGAGGCATGCCTGCCTGGGCTAGGCCACAGTACCCACCCACAAGTGTCAGAGCAGGGGTGGGCCACATCAGGCTGGGCTGCAGCACTCCTAGAATGTAAGAGAACCAGATCTGGGAGAAGATTCTGTAGGGGAATTTTGGGCTTGCCTCTGCGGGACTGCAGCACCCACCAGTTTACTTGGAGAACTGGGCCAAGGATCATAGAACTCGCCTGACACTCGCAGGAGCTTGGCCTGAGAGGGGGCTGGTTGGGGCCAGGCTGCAGCACCTCCAGTAGGTATGAGACCTGGGGCTTACTTGGGGAATTCCCCTACTAGACTGCAGCTCTCATTGGGGGGGGGGTGCAAGAGCTAGGGCTAGCGGCAGGTCTGGCCAGGCAAGGCTGCAGTACCCGTCAGCATTTTTGTGATCTGGGTCTGGGGACAGGCCAGGCTGGGCCAGACCACAGCACCCGCTGGCACGCAGGAAACCAGGACAGGGTGTGGACTGCACCTGGCTGGACTGGGCTACAACACCTGCCAGCAAGATCTGAGACTGTGGACAGATCATGCCAGGTTGGGTTGAAGTATCCACCAACACATGAAGGATCCAGTGTTATACACAGCCCTGGTATGGGAACTCTGGGAGCTCCCACCACTGTTGAATGTGAAAGCTGGGGCTGTGGGTGGACCAGGCTGGGCAAGGCTGAAACAGCTGTCAGCATGTGTGTGGACTGAGTCTGGAGGCATGCCAGACTGATCTAGGCTCCAGCACCCAATGGCACTTGGACCTGGCACCAGTGAGTGCCAAGGGTGGAGGCCAACCATGTCAGTGTAGATCATAGCACCTGCTAGCACATGCAGGATCCACTGCTGAGGGCAGGCCTGGTAGGGAAACTTGGGGAACTTGCTTGCTAGGCAACAGCTTCTGCTGGTGAGTGCAAGAGCGAGGGCTGGGAACAGACCAGAACACCAGGGTAAGTCCACAGCACACACTGACACAATGAGAGTCAGGATGGGGTACAGACCAGACTGAGTTGGACCGTGAAACCTGCCAGGTCACAAGAGGGCTAAGCTGAGCTGAGCCAGGCTGTAGCACTTGCTGTGAATGCCAAGACTGGGAGTGTGCCGTTTTAGCCGAGCCATGCTGTAGCACTTGCTGGTACACACAAGACCCAGGGCTGGGTGTGGGCCTGGTAGGGAATCGGGCAGAACTGATCGGTCAGCTTTACTGAAACAAAAGTTTTAGCTCATTCCCATAATTTTAACTGAGCCTTGTTTGAGTGCCATTCAGAAGTTATCCTACTGTACCTGGCGCAGTAGCCTATCGACTAAAGTCCTCACCTTGTACGTGCTAGGATCTCATGTTGGTGCTAGTTCATGTCTTGGCTGCGCCGCTTCCCATCCAGCTCCCTGCTTGTGGCCTGGAAAAGCTGTGGAGGATGGCCCAAGGCCTTGTGGCCCTGCACCCTTGCGGGAAACCTGGAAGAAGTTCGTGGCTTCAGATCAGCTCAGCTGTGGCCATTGTGGCCACTTGGGGAGTCAGCCAGCAAATAGAGGATCTCTTCTACTCTGTAAATCTGACTTTCCAACAAAAAAATTGAATAAATCTTTTTTTTTTTTTCCATTTAAAAATAGATTTTATTTCTTCTAAATGTGAGCTTTCTGTAGGGAATTGCACATTATTAAATGACTTTAAACTTGCACTCTAAATGAACAATTTTGCTTTCTTTATAAATTGTTCCAAGGATGTTGTGTAAAACAGTACCAGTAATTCCTTTCTCTGTTTGTTTTTCGTTTTTTATTATCATTTGTTTTAAATATTTTTTTTCTATTTTTATTGGAAAGTTAGATATACGGAGAGGGGGAGAGACAGAGGAAAATCTCCTGTCTGATGATTTACTCCTCAAGCAGCTGCAATGATCAAAGCTGAGCCCATCCAAAGCCAGGAGCCTGGAGCCTCCTCTGGGTCTCCCATGTGGGTGCAGGGTTCCAAGACCTAAGGCTCTCCTCGACCACTTTCTCAGGCTACACGCAGGGAGCAATATCAGTGGGGCTGCCTGGATTAGAACCTCTGCCCATATTATATCCCAGCGCGTGCAAGGTGAGGATTTAGCTGCTAGGTCATTGTGCTGGGCCCTATTATGATCATTTGATGGTACAGTTCTATAGGCTCTGGGATTTCCCCTGCTCCCTTCCTAAATCCCCTATTAATTGAGTTTGCCCATATAATTACAACAGTGTAGTTCCTCAAGTAGTCATAAGTCCTTCATTGCGGGCATGGACAATGGCAAAGTGACAATGGCATCCCATTGTCAAGACACATCCATCAGTTTCACTATGAGTCCATCCTCAATCCGAAAGTAGAGATACACACTGATGTGTGTCCTCACATCTGCATGTGACAGTCTCCACTAGAGTCACTATACATCCCCCAAGTGAAAAGCCTCAAAACAAAATCAACAAGAATGAAAAGAAATTTCCAATGCCATGAAGTTAGAGAACATGCTACTTAATGACTAATGTGTTGCTGAAGAAACGAAATAGAATATAAAAAACCTTCTTGAAGAGAATGATGTTACTTTATGACCTATGAGTGGGTGGAGAACTTAATGAGGAAAAAAACCGTTTGGAAGAAATGAAACTAACAAAAACATCAAAATCCATGAGATGAGTTTATGTTGATATTGTTGGTGAAATGTGTCTCCTGTAGGCAACAAATAGATTTTTTTTTTTAAAAATTCAGTCTACTAATCTGTGACCTTTGATTGATGAGCTGAAGCCATTTACATTTAGGGTTAATATATATAGGTGGTAATTTGATTCTGTTTTTTAGTAGTGGGTTGTTCATTTAGTCTTCCATTGTTATTTTACTGGAATGGGCTGCACATTTGCCTTTGGTTTTGGTGGGTGCTATTCCTTTTCTCTGTCACGCGAACATCTTTAAGTATCATTTGTAGGGCAGGATTGGAAGAGGCATATTCTTTTAAAAAAAAAAAAAAGTCCTACTATCCAATATGTTTGAGCTCAAATTTTTTTCTCTCCCATTTGTTTTGAAATAATTTGACTTGAAGCCTTTTCTTCTTCCTAACATGGCTGTGTTTTTAATGGTATATTGTTCCTCTAGTCTATGAGTGTGACTGACAACAATAAGACATTCAAGTTCTCTCTTGTTTAGGCTCCGTTAAATGATCCCTGTGCATGTGCCTCTTTCATGGGTTTGAAGCCCTCTACTAATAAATATCACCTTGTCCGAGCCATATTGGAGTCTATCGCTTTCAGGTATGAAAACTTGCCCTGCTCCCAACCCTCTTTACTGCACTGATATTTTTATCCATCCATTACTAAAACAAAAAAGTCATAATAGTAAAATTTTTTGAAATGTATGCATTTGGTTTAATGTATTTTGTATATGGCATTCTATTATTGATATGCTTTATAGTTCTTATTTTTCATATTCAATAGCACAAGAACAACTGAAATTTGTTTTATGAAAACTGAATGATGCAAAAAATCCCATTTCTTGGGCCTGGCATGGTGGCCTAGTGGCTAAAGTCCTTGCCTTAAATGCACTGGGATTCCATACAGGTGCCAGTTCTAATCCTGGCAGCTCCACTTCCTATTCAGCTTCCTGTTTGTGGCCTGGGAAAGCAGATGAGGATGGCCCAAAGCCTTGGGACTCTGCAACCTCATGGGAGACCCACACCAGGCTCCTGGCTCCTGACTTCAGATTGGCACAGCTCCAGCTGTTGCAGTCACTTGGGGAGTGAATCATCGGATGGAAGATCTTCCTCTCTGTCTCTCCTCCTCTCTGTATATCTGACTTTGCAATAAAAATAAATAAATCTTTTTTAAAAATCTAATTTATTAAGCCTAGATGTTCAAAATTTGGGCTTTCAAAGATTTAGTATCTATTCAAAAAGGAGAATTCAAACAAAAATACTTCCGGTATACCAAAGGCTGATTCTTCAGAATTCTGTGTGTGTATTTGCCTGTGATCTTTTTATTATGTATAAAGTATTATGAAATATAATTAAGAGTGCTTTTTCATGAATATAGAATATTTATGATGTTTAAAATATTCTGACTATAAAATTATTGTTATATTTGATTAATTCTATTAGGTGTTTATATAATTTTAATAGCTGTTAACTAAGTAGCTGCTTGCTTTAAGTTTTTCTTTTGTAGAATAAACTCAGTTATGACATAAAAGTTACACTGTGTTGTATGAAGGCAAAAATCACAGTGAACTGAACTTCTTCCATGATTGAGTGGCTGCTTGAAGCTTTCCAGTTAGTACAATAGATTTCTTCAATATTTTCTTTTGCATATTTTGTGAGTATCAAGTAAAAAAAATCAAAATTTCTAGTTTGCAGTTGGTATAGATTATAGTATGACGTTCTTCTAAATAATTATCCTTTTTCTTAATTAGAAACAAACAATTGTATGAGACAATGCAGAAGGAAATTCATATTCCTGTAACAAAAATCCGGTACGTAAGCTTTGTTTCCAATAGGCTTAATTAGAAATTAGCATAAAGTAATAGCTGCTATTAATATTTTCATCATTGTGATTACTCAGAACTGCAAAAAGATTTTGCACTAGCTCCTTTCCAACATAATTCTTGCTCCTAGCAAAAGAAAAGAAAATTTAATTTCACATTTATTGAGAATGTAGCACAATATGAAATGTGGAAGGCTTTTAGCACCCATGCTAGTTTTATAAAAATCTTTTTGCGTGTGTGTGCAGTTACCTTTTGGCATGAAAACATCAAATTTATTTTTTTTCCGTGACATCAAAATGCATTGTTATGTTGGTTTAGTTTATTGTGCTTCGCCTGTTCTGAAATTTACCAAGACAAAGAAGACAGGTGGTAGAATAATGGAAGAAGGAAGGAATATGCGTTAAAGATGGCCTAGTTTGATCCTCTGTTGTTAGGTTAATTATAAGGGACATAACTGGCAATTAAAAATTTAAACAATCAAATCAAATATTGGAGAAAACTATTAAAAAGAATTCATGATATTTTTGTCTGCAGGGCAGATGGTGGAGTCTGTAAGAACAACTTTGTCATGCAGATGACTTCAGACTTGATTAATGAGAACATAGAGAGACCAGATCACTCTGACATGTCCTGCCTAGGTGCTGCTTCTCTTGCAGGCCTTGCTGTCGGTATGTTTGGATTTTATAAAAAGGACGGCTTTCCTGTGAACTCTTATAAGTAGCATTTCTCCTTTCAAATCGGGAAGATCTCCACTGGGCTCCACATACGCACGTTGCTCACAAAACATCTTGTGGCCTGCTCTGCTGGCTGCAACAAAGTGAACTGTGTTCAAGAGGACTCTCAAGACACATACAGGGACTACTACAGTGGACTCTGAAAGTAGGAGAGCGAGGCTTAACTTAAAATCCAACAAGGAAAAGTGGGGATTTATTCCATGGGTGTTAGTAGATGGTGTAGAAGTGAAAGGACTTTCTGTTTCCCCTTTGGACGTTCCATATTTGTCTAACAAACAGACTAGCAGTAGACCAATTAACAGGAATGGCATACAGATTCAGTGTGTGCTTGCAAGGGTCACAGAAGATTGAGTTGCCAATGATGGAGTGACTCAGAAGCTTGCATAGTGGGGATGAAGTAGGAGAGGCAGGTAATCTAAGAGAGAAAATGGGCCTGAAGAACAGTTAACAGCCTGGATAAAGTTCTTCTGGTCTCCAGAGTTGAAGTCAACTCTAGCCTTCCTTCTTACACCAAGCTGCTGTCTTTTCTGGGAGTTGAAATATCTAAGGAAGAGGTTCATAGTAATTGGATATTTTCTGGAAAAGTAGGCCTTTAAGGCAGACAGAGAATATTTCAGAGCAGGCCTGCCCTGCATCTGTTGCTCCCTACTTGCTGTCAGATTGAAGTCCAACGCCACCTACTTTGAGATATTATTTTCTGAGCCCTAACAATGGGCAGCTATTAAAAAGAAACTTCAAGGGTAAGGAGAAATTCTGGATAAACCAATCCAACAGGATTCTTTCTGAATGCAGACCGGGATGATCAGAGATTAGCTGGGGTGGGGTCCGGGGGGTGAGATGTGATAAAAGATGAAACTTCAGGATGATCACAGATGAGGAATTCTGGCTAAACTGACTCAGCAGATTCCTGTTAAGATTGGATAATGGAGAGACAAAAATGGTAGTCTAAATGTTGAAGCTGGCTAAAATTAGAGCACAAGGGAGCCTGAATAGTTTGCTTGAGGAGAAATTCTTTCTCAATAACTTGTCTTTGGCATTAGAAACCACTTCATTTTTTATTTATTAAGCATTTGTTGAGCACCTGCTACCTCTTTATTCACTGCTGAGAGATTGAAAGCTTTGGTCCCTGATCATTGATAGCAGCAGAAATAAGTCAAGAGACTATAACTTTATGTAATAAACCCAGTGAACACCAGTACTATTCAGTATGTGATGTGGGTTTCTCAAGAGGAATGTGGACTTGATCCTGAAAGTGCTGTAGTGGCATTGAAGGGACATGGTTCATTTGCACTTGAGCAGATCACTTTGATAATTAATTAAAGGTGCAGTGAGATGGGAGGCAGGCATTTAGCCTAGAATTTGAGACTTCAAGTTCCACTTGGAGTTCCTGGGTTTGGTTCCTAGCCCTAGCTGCTACTTCCAGCTTCCTGTTAAATGTAGATCCTAGAGCGCAAAGGTGGTGGCTCAGATAATTGGGTTCCTTCACTCACGCTGGAGATCTGGATTCTGCCCCTCAGCCTTTGAAGGCTTCTTAAGATTTATTATTATTATTATTTTTATTGGAAAGACAAATTTACAGAGAGAAGGAAAGACAGAGACAAAGATGTTTCATCCACTGGTTCATTCCGCAGATGGTCTCAACAGGCAGAACTAAGCCTGGAGCCAGGAGTCTCTTCTGGGTTTCCCACATGGGTGCAGGATCCTGAGGTTTTGGGCCATTCTCTACTGCTTTTCCCAGGCCAGAAGCAGGGGAGCTGGATGGGAGGTGGAGCAGCCAGGACAAGAACTGGTACCCAAATAGGATGCAGGCACTTGAAAGTAGAGAATTAGCTAATTGAGCCATTTCACCAGACCCTCAAAAACTTTTTAAAAAATTTATTTACTTTTATTTGAAGGGCAGATTTTACAGCGAGAGGAGAGACAGAAAGAGATCCTCCAGCTACTCATTCACTCCCCGAATGGCCACAACCACTGGAGTTGAGCTGGTCTGGAACCAAAAGCTTGGAGTTTCTTCCAGGCCTCCGATGTAGGTGCAGAGGCTAAAAGTATTAGGGGAGCTGGATCAGAAGTAGAGCAGCTGGGACACCAACCGGCACCCATATGGTGCTGATTATACCTGATTAATTCAAGTTGAATAAAAGAAGTTTCCCTTAAATAATCAGTCTAATGCACAGTCAAATTATTTTGTATATTCTTCCCCTATTAACCTAGCAAAGATGATTTTCTGTTTAATAATTTTGAATACCCAGTTAAACATACTCCAAACTATAACAAGGCACATCTCAAATGGAATAAATTAAGCATATCATCATCACAGATCAAGTTCAAACACTCTAATAGCATTATGAAGGTAATTAAATCCTTCTGCACTTTTTACCTTATAAAACACTAAGTATGCCAGGCTTTCCTGAACATTCCAAATACTTTAAGTAACTGACAGAGGCAGATGTTACACATAAAACAATGGCTTGAGTTTCAGCTGCTTAATTATATCTAGTTCATTTCAACTTTTTTTTCTCTCAGAAGTAGGAGCTGAGGCAATGCACATCCTCTATTTTTTCTAAATTTATGTAAACACTGGGTCTGTCCTATGCAAATTTAATACAATAACCAGCTTAGTTAGATTTTCTAGATATAGTTGCAGTGAAAACCATTTTTAGTTTTTCTGAAATCACTCTAAACTGCTATCTTCCAGCACAGATGCTCTAAAATGCTGACCTTGTAAATGTGAGGAATGTACCCTGATAGGAAATTTCAGCAACAATGTGTTCTGTGTGTCAGCGTTACTGGTGAGAGAATCTGGGTTTACTGAGGACCTTGAGGGTGTGTTGGTACTTCAGAATACGTAAGCTGGCCCTCTGCCAAGATGACATACTCAAGACATCTGTCTGCTTTGAGACTACATGTCATCCTAGTTATACATGAGTTCAGAGAACTCATTTGCTTTTGTTGCAAATCACCTGTTTCTATAGCTACACTATTATCTAGAACTGGAATTTAAATAGCTTATATTAAAGATTGTTTTAAAAAAGTATATTGATTCCCAGACTCTGAATTTTATGCATATTCCAGAGAGTTGCCACATGCTTCCAGATGTATGACAGAGTCTTATTTTGCCTTCATTATTAAAACTGTGAAGAGAAAATTTAATGGCAGGTGTTATAGCATAGCTGGTAGGGCTGCCACCTGTCACTCACATCATATGGGCACTGGTTCAGGTCCTGGCTGCTCCAACTCTCTGCTAATGCACCTATGAAAGCAGCAGAAGATGGTCCAAGTGTTTGGGCCCCTGCCACCGGTGTGGGTCTTGAGCTCTGGATGGAGTTCCAGGCTGTCGGCTTTGACCAGACACAGTCCTGGCCACTTTGGTTAATGGGGGAGTAAACCATCAGATGGAAGATCAGTCTAGCTCTCTATTCCGTTCCTTGCATAACTCTGCCTTCCAAATACATAAATAAATCTTTAAAACACACACACATAGTATTACTTGGGATTTTTTAAAAAAAATAACCAGTCTGGGCCCAGTGCAATGGCCTAGTGGCTGAATCCTTGCCTTGTGTCTGCTAGTGTCCCATATGGGCACCAGTTTGTATTCCAGCTGCTCTGTTTCCCGTCAGCTCCCTGCTTGTGAACTGAAAAAGCAGTCAAGGATGGCCCAAAACCTTGGGACCCCGCACCTCCGTGGGGGACCCAAAAGAGGCTCCTGGCTATTGGATGGCTTAGCTGCAGCTATTGTGTGCTCCAACAGACAGAAGATCTTCCTCTCTGTCTCTTCTTCTCTCTGTGTGTCTGCCTTTCCAATTAAAAAAAAAAAAAAACAGCAAGTCACAAAATCAGGTGCTCAGGATATGGCTGTTCTGAAAGATACTTGATGCGCTACAACTCAGAAGTCAAGATGAAACCAAAGGATTTTAAGATCCTGATAAATTTATTTATTTGTGGGAGTGATCAATCCAAATTTCCAAAGCAACCAAATATTTTGAATTATATATATATATTTTTTAAGATTTTATTTTTTAATTTTTATTGGAAAGGCGGATATACAGAGAGGAGAGACAGAGAGGAAGATCTTCCGTCCGATGATTCACTCCCCAAGTGAGCGCAACGGCCGATGCTATGCCGATCCGAAGCCAGGAGACTCTTCCGGGTCTCCCACGCGGGTGCAGGGTCCCAAAGCTTTGGGCCGTCCTCGACTGCTTTCCCGGGCCCCAGGCAGGGAGCTGGAAGGGAAGTGGGGCTGCCAGGATAGAACCGGCGCCCATATGGGATCCCGGGCGTGCAAGGCGAGGACCCTAACCACTGTGCCACCGCGCCAGGCCCTTGAATTATATTTTAAAGCAGTAATTGTTAACTCTCACTCCCTCACATAAGTTTGTGGATAAACTTAATAAACTCATTGTTGTCCTTAAAATTTGAGAATTTTTCTTTTTGTCTACAGGTTTTTGGACTGACAAGGAAGAACTAGAGAAACTGAGGCAAAGTGAAATGGTTTTTAAGCCCCAGAAGAAATGGCAAGAATATGAAATGAATATGGAAAACTGGCTCAAAGCAGTGCGGCGCTCCATGAATTGGTACAATAGCACGTGATCAAATGTGATGGTGGAATTGTAGCTGGTTGACAAAGCAAAGCCCAGGGATAACCTGTGGTAGCAGTGACTGGGAGAAGGTATAGAGAAAGCTCACAACTTGAGTGGAAAAATAATTGCTTATTCACAAAAAAAAAAAAAAAATACAACTTCTTATTTTTTATCCAAACCTTGGAAAAATTATAAGGCAACAATACCTCAAAACTTATTTTCGGCAGGTTCCAAAGGACATTAGCCATTTGTTTCTGACCATATTTTACACTTATGGGTACTCTTTTTTTATATTGGGCCAGTGGTACAGTAGCCCAGCTTTGCACATAAGAGATTTGTTCCAAGACCCCAGGGGAGGCTGAAACCACAGATACTAGCAGAACTTGTTTTTGCTGTTTTTTTTTTTTTTAAATTTTCTACACATGGATGATAAAGTTTAATGAATTAGGCATGGTAAGAGAGAAAAACTAATTTTAAATAGAGTAGCTGTAGAGAATTACGTAAATGAGATCTATCTTAAAATATCTCACTGTCCTTTACTGACCCCCTGTTTTGGCATTGATGTGAGATGACACAGTGTGTGCATGGTAAGGTGAAGTGAGACAAATAAAACAACACTTACGCTTCATGGCCATAACCTCTGTGCTCGCAGGACAGTAGGAAAGCAGTGCAGATGTTCTTCCTCATGGTCTGACAGAGGTCGTCTCTCCCCACGGAGCTCAGCAGTCTCAGCATGGGTGCTCTTTCTTTGCCTTATTTTGTTTGTTTTCTTTAAATCAAGCACTTTCTTTTTTTTTTTTTTTAACTTAAAAAGGAGCATTCTGCAGCTTTCCTTTGGAATGACTGAATTGTGCATTGGGTCTGAGATTGAGTAAAACACTTGCACACAGAACTGCAATAAAGTGCATAGTGGATCTGATAACCAAGACAGTTAGGAAGTGACCGACAAGCAGGTAGCAAATACAATGTGAATACACCAGACAACAGATGGCTGGCAGGATGGTGTGAGATATGCCACTTCACCTGGCATGCAGTTGAAAACTTAAGAACTATTTATTTCTGGAATTTTCCATTTTATATTATTGGACTATTTTTGACTACACATAAGGAACTATGGAAAAGAAAACCTTGGAAAAGGGGGCCACTGTTCATAAGAACAGAGAACACTGAACTGTTGGTTTCAGGTCAAGCAGTATTTACATTTTATTCCAAAATTATGTGAAAAGTATGCCTTCAAGTTTTTAACATAAAATGGGCTATTTGAAGTCCATATAACTAAAAAGAATTAAGAAAATGTAGAATATTAAAATATTAGTGCTGTCTTAAGCCATAATTTTTCAATGTCATATCCAAATATGAGCTCAGTATATCCCTGTGAGATAAATGTGTTAGTCAATGATTTCCTTTACTGGGCTTCAAGTCACTGCCTTAATTTTTGCTTGTTCAAACACCAAAGTATTGACATTCTTTCTTTATATGTTGAAAAATTAATTTTAGTTATTGATTCTTCAGGAATAAAAAAATACTGTTTATTTTCCTTCTGAAATTTCTTTCAAAAAAACTTCTGTGTAAGTATAGGATTCTGTTGTTTACAAAATGTGCAGGTAGTTAATGCAACTTTAGTCTTCTGTCCTTTCTCTTAGCTGTTAAGATGCTGGAGTAAATGTCTTTTTTCTTAAGTGCCTAATTCACAGAGTTTGATTTGAAGAAAGTGCCCCGATCTGTTGGTGACTAAGAATTCCCTTCATGGGGATATTTTACTCATCTGAGTATCTTCTGCTTGGTTAGTCTTCCCAGCTCTCCAAGGTGTGTGCAGGGGACAGCAGATGAGACGTGATGTGGCTGTGTACATGGCAATGACTGCCCTGTCGCCCCTGAGTCGGAGAGTCACAGCAGGAACAGGGGCAGTGTACTCTTCTCAGACTTTCCTGCTCGAAGCAGTGTAGGGAAGTGAGAGCCATGAGCAGCCTCAGGCTGGGTGCGAATGTAGGGATGGAGAGCTGTCAGCTGCCCCAGGCTGGGTGTGAAATTAGCACCAGGCAGTTGGCTGGCTTCCACTGTGTTTTAATACCCTTTATCTCCTAGCTACCTTTGGTGTAGGTTCTGTTTTGGATGTGCAGTGGTAATCAATTTATTTCCCTCTTCATCAATATTTATCAGAACTTTAGAATTAACTGTTACATAATAGTGTGCTCAAGAGAGGGGCTGTTATAGAGAATTTGGCGGTTGTGGTCATTTGCATGTCAGAGATAGGTATGATAGAACCAATGATATAATTGAGTTTGCAAATTCCATTTCAGGGAACTTCAGCTTGTTTTTATTTTACATTGTAGAAAAGTATAGGATCATTAATTCCAATTATTTAAGATTTGGAAACTATAAATCAGAATATTATTTAGTAAATCAGATAATACATTCTTTCCATTCATTTTTACATCTTTGCAAAGACTAGTTAGTGATTAATTAAAGGCTTTCTTTCCAAAATTATATGAAAGTTTCTCTTTGTTTTGCTCTTATACTGTCTGCTTCACAGTGGTTGTGAGTGCTTAGAAAATAATTCTTTTGTATTAGAATATACCTAGTTGCAACATTAATAGTACCTAAATATTTGTTGTTTATTTCTTTTCCATATTCTCTTTTCTCAACATATAGCCACAACGTAAAGGATAAATAGTTTTGAGAGTGTGAGAAAATAAATTTGAGTATTTCTCATTGGATTTGAGCAGTCCCTCAAAAATCAGTGGCCAAATTTTTTGTCTTCTGTGAACCTAGAAACTAATGTTATCTTTAATATGTTTACCGATATTAGTGAGAATAGTAAATCTTTTTTTTTTTTTTGATCTAGCCCACAATCAGAAACATGATCACATTTGTTTTTGTGGTTACAGAAACCATCGATAATCAAAATCAGCTAAGGAGAAAAATTGTCCTTACCATGTTTAAGTTTATTTTTCATTTATGTAGCTCTGTGTGAAGTTTCTAACAATGTATTCTAATATTCCTCAGTATGTTTTGTTTTCCCTTTGTGAGTACATCAGGTATTCGTAGGTGAACTCCAGTTTCTTACCATAGAGGAGAATGATCTTACTTAATCCATCTTCAACCAGTTTTATGTTTATACTATAGATTTAACTGATTTTGAAACCTTTTCTCTCTGACCAACGTATCGTTTTCCTGTCTCAGTACTGACATTCTGGGCTGAATAATTCTTTGTTCTGGGGTACACTGTAGGGTGTCTCTGATCTCTGCCTTCCAGCTCCCACTGGCATGCCTCCTACTTATGATGAAAATGATCTTTAATTATTGCCATTCAGGGATGCAATATCATTCTCAGTCAAGAGCCATTAATAGACGCAGACGGAGGACTCTGAATATAGTGTCACTCGCCTTTCCACTCTGTTTTACTTTACGTTAGGAAATAGTTTAATAGCAAAGAAGCCATAGTATATATTTTTAAAAATAGAATTTCTGTTTGGCTAATAAGGAAAAGAAATCTCTTACTTTCATAGCGTCTTCTGATGTTTTATCTACTGTTGCCCAGGCCTACCTTTGTAAACTCTGATCTGTGACTAATGTATTTTGCAAATTATCTTTGATTTGATCTGCTTTTTAGCTTTGTTTTCAACTAGGAATAAAGGTGATGACTTTCTTCCACCTGCCTTCTGAACAAACCTGCACCTAACCAGAAGCAAACACTGTATCCCCAGAACCGAGCATTGCTCTTCACGTTTATGGGATCTATTTGGACTTTTTCAATGCTTTGCTCATTTGCACATTTTATCCCTTATGTTCTGGTCACTTGTTGCATGTAGGATAGGTTTATGTCTGAGAAGAATTGCTTTGCTAAAAGAGCTGGAATCCTCATACTGTATATTTAAACTTTTCCCCATGTTTATACATCTGCAAATGTGTTTTTACAGAAATACTATCCACAAATCACTTAGTCACAGGTTATACCTGTTGCGGATGACTGAATGAGATGGCAGGAATCTTCAGAGTGCCAAAAAAGCTTGTGCTACAGGAAGGGAGCATCAGAAGGGGCCCCTTCTGTAGGGGACTTAGGCTTGGAGACCAGCCTAACCCAAAATAGTCCAACCCGAGTCTGGCCAGAATTTTATAGTTCTGAGTCATTCCAGAGACAGCCTAGAAGGCTTAAATATACCATAATGGCTTCTGAATCCCTCTGGGAAGTCTGGATCATGTTTCTCAATTGTGGTTAAAGACCTCCCAGACATATTCTAGACCTCTAAAACCTGGTCCCCAAATCATCTCAAAATACCTGAAGCCAGATCATCTCTTCAAACCACTCAAAGTAGGTGATGTTAAGAGGTCTGATAGGTGATCCAGAATCAAGTTGTGTTGTACATTTTGGAACTTCATAGCCGTGAATACCTTGGCACCAGCATCTATTCTAAATCACTGGCTGTGTTGTCTCTGCATTCCCATGAGATGACTGTCCCTAGAGGAATGCAGCAAAGATCTTGGGAGTAGGAAGTATGGACCGGAGCCTGCAGAATAACTTGCTTAGGGCATTCTCTGCCTTTCTACTTTTGTGCTTTTGACCCTTTGCTACAAATGTGGTCTGTTATAAAATGGCTGTGTCTAGACAGATACTGGTATTGTTTGGGGGGGGGGGGAAATGATACAGGAACTCCAATTTAAATGAGCCTTATCTTTATAAGAAACTGCCAAACTGCTTCTCCCAGTGGCTGTATCGTTTTATATTCTCCAAAGCACTGTAGGAAGTGCCAAGCCCCTCCACATCTTCACCAGCATTTGATGGCGCCACTGTGTTTCCTTTGAGCCATTCTGACCGTGATATCTCATGGTGGTTCTAATTGCATTTCTATAATTAATAATGATACTGAACATATTCTTGTGTCCATTTTGCCATTTATGTATCCTCTCCAGAGAAATGTTTGTTTATATCTTTTGTCTGTTTGCCAATTAGATTGTTTGCCAAATGAGCCATATCTTAAAATATTCTTTTTAAAATGTTTTATATCAGTCCAGTGACTTAAAGCATTCAGGGGGATTTTTGAAATCCTTCTAGGAAAAATATATATGGAATTTGAACATGATTTTATAGTCTGAACAGAAGAATTCTGATATACCTTGTGTTTGGCTAATACCGGGTAATTAAAATTTTTTCAGTTATCTTTGCTTGGAATATTAGCTAGAGTGTCCAGATTTGTATTTTGTACATAGCTATCATAATGTTTCTAAACTTTTAAAATTTAAAATATTTGACTTTAGGGTTTAAGGATGACTGTAAAAATTAATTAGAATTTTTCCTATTTGTACAAAATGGGTAAAGATAGAACCTGATTTCTATACACTGATATATTCTTATTTCTCTGATCTTTAATGTCATGATTTTATTAAATAGTGATTGAGACCCTCATAAATTACGATTGTTAAGATCTATAGGTAAAATCAAGGAAACATAACAATTGAAATATTTTTCTTATGTATGTAAATTTTTCCCTTAGCTTTTTGTACACTTTTACTTTTAGATTTTTTTTTTTAATCTGGACATTCTTATTACCATTTTCTGTTTGAGTTTCTGCACATTAAGAAAGTCACAGAGAAATAAGTATATGTTAACTAAATTAAAAGCTGAGGTGAATTTAGGCTTAGTGTAATTAGAGAAGAAGTTTATGAACATTTCCTCTTAAGGTTTATAATATATATTGATATACACACATATGTGTGTGTGTGCGTCTAACATTCTTACACTAAGGACATTACATAAGAAGAGGGTTAATTCTTTATAATGAAGAAGGTATCATCTATTATGTATTTTTAAATACTTAGGAAGATAGTAAAGAACTAGAGGAAAGACAATTTCATACACTAATATGAAATTAGTGTAGTAGCTGTTCAAAATACCATTTCTAAATATTGTAATAGAAAAGTACTGGGGAAACAACAATGGCATGGTGAACGACTGAGCCGTACATGTGGGTATAATAAAGGTGGTGTTATTTATGCTTTTCCGATCGTTGCTGCACGGTCACGCACTTACACAGCCATCTCCACGTGCTGGAAGATGCAGCAGGTAACCTGGACTTCTTCACCTGGCTGCACTGCAGGTTCCAATGATTGCTAAGCTGATGGGGTCATTTGGTAGCAGGAAATTTGAAATGTCATAAACTAAATGATTGGAAGAAAGGATTGGATTTTTTTAAAAAGACTCATTTGAAAGAGTGACAGAGGGAGACAAAGCATAGATCCTCCATCTACTGGTTCATTCCACAAATGGCTGCAATAGCTGGGGCTGGACCAGGCTGAAGCCAGGAGCGAGGATCTCCAATCTGGTTTCTCATGCGGGTGCCAGGCCCTCAAGCAAGTTGAGAAACTGGGACTGAAACCAGTGTACCAATACAGAATGCTGGTGTTGTGTGCACAGCTTAAGCTGCTGTGCCACATCACTGGCCTTTAAAAAAAAATGCTAGGAAGACAAGAGATAGAGCAAGGTCCTGCCTGCTGCTTCACTTCCCAAATGCTTGCAGTAGCTGGAGCTGAATCAGGCCAAAGCTGGGAGTGAGGGATATTGTGGCAGTGGTCCTCTTTGATTGAGTGTACATTAGTGGGGCTCAAAGCAGGCACTCTTAACAGGCATATGGATAGGACAGTTTCCTGTTTTAATTTTTAGTTCAAAGTTCTATTTGTTGGGGCCATTGTTGTGGCAGAGCAGGTAAAGCTACTGAATGACAGTAGCATCCCACGTGAGAGCTGACTGGCAATGGCATTCCATATGAGAAGCAGTTCTAGTCTACTTCTGCATTTCTGATCCCACTCCCCACTAATGTGCCTGGGAAGGCAGCGGAGGATGGTCCAGATGCTTGGGCCCCTGCCACTCATATGTAAGACCTGAGTGGAGCTCCAAGCTCCTGGTTTTGGCCTAGCTTAATCCTGGCTGTTGTGGCTATTTGGGGAAATTAGCCAGCAGATGGAAGATCTCTCTGTATATATTATATGCAGTTTTTTGTGTGTAACTCTTTCCAGTAAATCATAAAAGTGTGATGTAGCCAAGGAACCTCAAGCTTAGGAAACCTGATTATAATGGTGATGGGTTGGGAGTAAATCAGACCCATGCTTTCCCCAGAGAAAATCATTTTCTAATATTGGATAGTTACACAAATTGCATAGGAAAAGGGGCACAGGGTCAAACCGGAACAACCTCGGGCTGGCACTGTGGTGCAGTAGGGTAAGCCTCCATCTGTGGCACTCGTATCCCATATAAGTGCCAGTTGGTGCCTTGGCCACTCTGCTTCTGATTTAGCTCCCTGACTATAGCTCAGGAAAGCAGCAGAAAATGGCTCAAGTTCTTGGGCCCCTTCACCTTAAAGGGGACTCAGGAAACTCCTGGCTCCATGTGGCCATCGGGAAGTGAGCCAGTTAATGGAAGACCTTCTCTCTCTGCCTCTTCTCTTTCTGTGCCTTTCAACTGAAAATAAATGAATCTTTAAAAACAAAATAACTACCTACCAAAAAAAAAAACCTATAAATTTTATTATCAGTGAAAGTGAATGGACATCGATTACGACTCTCTCAACATGTAGAGCCAAAAAAATATATATATATAAAGAAACATGAAAAATTAAAAGTGGGTTTTGTGGCAATAGTGTGTTAAGTTGCCACATGCCATACAAAGTGCTGGGGATCAAGTCCTACCTCTGTCTCCAGTCTGGCTCTGTGTGTCTGGGAAGCAGCAGGTGATGGCTCATGATTGTTTGGCCCTAATGGTGCTCCCGGTTCCTGCCGTCAGCCTGGCATGTATACATGTGTTTACAGAGAGGGAGAAAAAAGATTCTCTGCTGACTCACTCCCTGTATGCCAGGAGCCGGGGTTCTTATCCAGGTCTGCCACATGGGTGGCAGGGGCCCCAATGCTTAAGCCATCTTCTGTTTTTCCCAGGCTATTAATAGGGAGATGGATTGGAAGGGGATGCTGATACTGCAGGCAGAACTACACCACAACATCGTCCCCCCTTCTTCTGTCACTCTACATTTCAAATAAGTATCTTTTTCAAAAAAATTAAGCTCTGATAGAGCTACCCATGGATTTCCTTTTTTTCTTTTTTTTTGTCTTTGCACTACAATAAAATGAACTTGTAATTCCTTTTTCCGCAAGCTTTTTGAATTAATGTGGTGAGTTAGGCAGCTAGTTCAGGATTGCGGGCTTGGAAGCCACTGCCCCCACCACCACCTAGATGTTCCCTCCTGCCCACCTGTGACTCTCACCTATCACTGGAGAGGGCCTCTGACTTTTGGCTTCCCCAGTACCTGCTTGCTGTCCACTTTCCCGTGGACAGACTCTGAGGACAGGTATCCCCTGAACATGGCCCCTGCATGTCTGTATTCCTCACTCTCTGTTCACTGCTTGGGTGAGTCAGTGAAAATGTTAATGCAAAGATGCTTTGTATTTCTAATGTGTACACTTTCAAGAGTTCCAGGAGAAGTGAGGCCTAGCAGTAGTGGAATGTGGGCAGAGAAGCTAGGGAAAGGTGAATGTGTGTAGCTTTGTAAGTATGTTCAGGTTATACATTGCATGTCTCTTATAAAAAAAAAAAACTTATATTGTGGGGAATTGGGACATAGGTCTTCAGCTTAATGGATGGACTTCAGGGTAATGACCATTTGTTCCTCTTGGGGTTACAATTGACTGGATTGCCATATGGACTTATGATTTGCTATTTCTAGTGGGCCTTGTTATCACCAAGCTGGGTTAATAAAGACTTCTTAATAAACTTTAGACATTTCTGGTTTGATCTCGCTCATACCCTGCAACAATGTTTTATTGTCTGGAGACATACACACATATGTTAAAATAATTTATAAAAGGAAATTCTGAACAAAATTCCAGATGTAATTTCGGAAAGGCAAGGCGAGGGTCCAGGGGAAGAGCAGGTGCAGCTCCCATGGGGGTAGTATCCTGTTTCAGCTGTGTAGGAGGGCTCCTCCTGTCTCCTTAGACTTCACAATACAGCCTTCCAGCATGAACCAAATGTCTAACAAAGACCCTTTGGCTTAGGTCTGGTTGCTGTCATTAAGGAAGGCGGCCAGAAAGGAGTTGGGGAGGGGTTGTTTTCCTTCCCCAAGGAAACCAGGATTCTAAGTGGATGCTTCCCAAAGAAGATGACTGAACCACACCCAACAGGGCTGTCCTTGGAAGACAAGACCCAGAGGGAGCACTTCTCTCTCAAGTGTTAACTCTTGTCACTCAGTGCTTGGAGCTGGTGGGAAAAGCAGATGCTTTTTGTTTTTAAGAACAAAGTCTCGGGCTCAGTGCGATAGTGTAGTGGTTAAAGTCCTCGCCTTGCACACGCTGGGGTCCCATATGGGTGCCGGTTCGAATCCCAGCGGCCCCGCTTCTCATCTAGCTCCCTGCTTGTGGCCTGGGAAAGCAGTTGAGGACGGCCCAAGACCTTGGGATCCTGCACCTGCTTGTGAGACCAGGAAGAGCTCCTGGCTTCAAATTGGCTCAGCTCCAGCCGTTGCAGTTGCTTGTGGAGTGAACCATCGGACGGATCTTCCTGTCAGTCTCTCCTCCTCTCTGAAAAATAAATAAATCTTAAAAAAAAAAAAAAAAAAAGAACAAAGTCTCTTGAACTCTGACCTCCACCAGACTTTGTGTGGGATGCAAATGGATTCCTGAGGACCTCTTGACTCCAGGGGTGAGGTGTGGCAAGTGAGGCTGCGGGACCCGCCTAGGAACCTAGCGTGATTGCCCAATCTGGGCACACCCCTGAGGCTGAACTGAGACTGTGGGTGGCTGCTGAGGACGGTAAAGGCGGAAGACAGAATGCTTCTGGGGTTCCATTTGGTGAAGGCGGTACCTGGCGCTGCAGAAGGGAGGTGCAGAAGGGCCTCAGGTTTAACTAACAGAGCTGCCTGCTTCACAGGGCTTTCTGTGGGCTATTCTGTGGCCTAAATATTTCTAAGTAGGTGAGACTGGTACCTATATTTGTACCTTTCCCCTCTTTGCACATGAGCTGACTTGTAGAGGAGCAGTTGTGATCCATCCTGGATCAGAAAACCTGGATTCCGCTCTGCTCAAGCTCCTGACTTTAGCTCCCCACCAGTGCAGACTTTGGGAGGCAATGGTGATGACTCAAGTCATTAGTTCTTTGCCATTCAGGTGGGAGACCTGCATTGAGTTCCTGGCTCTTGGCTCCAGTACCAGTATGCCTCTGGCTATTGTGGGCATCTGGGGAGTGAACCCTCAGATGGGAGATATCCTTGTCTCTCAAATTAGAAAGAAATGCATTTAAACTTTTCTTAAGCACTGAGGATACAGCAATGAATCAGGACTAGCTCTGAGTCTAAAGGAGCTTATAGTCAAATGGCATGCAGATATCAAGAGTCATTACACGTCTAAAGAAATGTCATAAAGGCAAATAGAATTTTATGGGGAAAAAGCTGGAGATAGACAGTTGGGGGACCCTTATGTGAACGAAATGCTTAGATAAGAGGCACGGGAAGCTGAGCTGTGGGAGAACTGGGATTGTTCCCAAGACAAAGAAGTATTACACTTCTGACACTTGCTTTCATATTTCCAATGTCTTGCACAGTTTTGGGCATACAGTAAGTGCTTAATAAGTGCTTGCTGAATCAATAAGTGTTCTGTCACATCTCAGACATCTAGTCTGGCACTGGAGATGGTGGTAGCTGTGTTTTCCTTTCCAAAGGAAATAAGATCCTTATTGGGGAAGTGAGAGAGAAGACAGGAATCTTACTGTTGTACAAATTGCTAAATTGGAACTATGAGTGGGAATGAAAAATGGATTAACATGTATTTTCTTCCCAGTAGCAACTCAACAATTTATTCTGTGCTGGAGAATTTTCAGTTTCTTGGCCTGGGAACCAAGCTGTTCCTCCTCATTGTGAATTTCTTGGCCTGCTGTGAGACTAGCATTTACTGTCTTTTTACAGCATAGCCTGATTAGGTCATGGAAATTCACAGCTAGATCAAACTAGTAAGTGGAAAATTTGAAGCTTTCCTGCCCACTCTACTTGGTGGCATTGGAAGGTGTTACAAAACATTGACTTGGAAATCACTTCACCAAAGCATTCTAGAAGAATCTGAATAATGGCCACCATTTATTGAATACTTACTGAATGTGCTATCTAGTAAACTGCTTACATTAACATGTCAAGAGCAAGTCAAGCCATATGAAAATTGGCAAGTATCAACCATTTTATAGAGTGCCACTTGATGTTATG